TATTTCATGTACAGTATGTACTGTATTAATAATATAACTGTGGATGGCATTTATTGATAAAATGATAATGACTTGTGAGGATTGTCTGCCTTATGAGGGAAGAGGTAAGCAAAAACCACACTCACTAATGCAGATACTAAGTTGAAAGATCGAACACATCGCATCTACACAAAATAACATTTTTCTATGAAACACAATAAGAAGGGAAGACGCAAAATAAGAGGGAAACAGCAAAAATAATGCATCCATCCATTTTCTAACCAATTTTTCTAACACAGGGCTGTGGGGGAGCAGGTACCTGTTGTGGCAGGCAATGGGCACAAGGCAGGATACATACTCAATACGACACCAGCCCATCTCATGGCACATACAAACCCACACCAGGGCCAGTTTTCCCAGCACCTAATTAACCTACCAGTATGTCTTTGGACTGTGGGAGGGAACAGGAGCACCTAGACAATATACAATATACAAACTCCACACTGATACCACACCAACACCACTGCAAGCTTGCAAGTACCCAGGAGGCCACAGGAGGGCGCTGTGCTGCCTATCTAATTAATAATAATAGTAATAATAATAATTGCTTACACTTATATAGTGTCTTTCTGGACACTCCAATCAAAGCGCTTTACACTCCCCACCATCACCACCAATGTGCAGCATCCACCTGGATGATGTGACCGCAGCCATAGTCCACCAAAACGCTCACCACACAATAGCTATCAGTGGGGGAGGAGAGCAGAATAATGAAGCCAAATCATGGAGGGGGATTTTTAACGACCACAGAGAGTCAGGACCTCGGTTTTACATCTCATTCAAAGGACGGCACCCGTTTACAGTATAGTAACCCTGTCACTATACTGGGGCATTAGGTTCCACATAGACCACAGGCTGGCCCCATTAACACCTCTTCCAGCAGGAACCTTAGTTTTTCCCAGGAGGTCTCCCATCCAGGTACTGACCAGGCTCACACCTGCTTAGCTTTAGTGGGTTGCCCATTGGGAGTTGCAGGGTGATATGGATGGCTTATTGTTAATCCCACTAAACAATAGGCAAGGTAACTATTCAAGGTTCTGCATTTAAAGTTGAGAGAAATAATTATAAAAAAGGAGAAAATTATAGAAAAAAAAACGTTTTCTAAAAGTTGAAAACTAGAAATGCAATTTTTTGGCCTCGGCAAGTGACCAAAACAAAGCTTTCACATTAAATAAAATCACCCAGAGATTTAAATACATGAAATAATAGGATTCAGAAAATTAATTAATAATAAAAAAAACAGAATTGATACCAGTAGGGAGTTGTGTGGTTGAGAAAAGTGGGCGCCTGTACTTGAAGCCCAATGTAGGACATTTTTGTTGATCACAGACGCTGAGCTCAGGCAGAAGAGCTAATGGGCCAGAAAATTAGGAACTGGGACTAATTTTATGCCAGCAAAAGTTAGAAGCAGAGAATGAGAAATAGTGGAAAGAGGGAATGAACTAGATGACTGGACCTGTAGGAAAATGTATCTAAAAATCACAAAGAAGGGTAGATGGTAAGTAGGCAGGAAGTTGGAAAAACCCTGAAAGGATTAGTGGTATCGAACAGGGGCAAATCAAGCATATTATACCCCCACACTGAGAAATAGTATTCAAAACATTTACAAAAGTGAAAATTTGAAGAAAAAAAAATAAAAACAGACACTGATACAGACCCTCTCAGTGGGGAGGAAGTTTCTCTAGCAGAGAGCTTGAATGCTACAGTACATAACCTACTGTACCATGTACTGCTTTCAGCTAAACTCTGGGAATGGTCAGAATTCCTGAATGCTGGGCGTGGGATATGGTGACTAATCTAGTAATTCTATCAAATAGTACGGTTACACTGTGCTATGCATTGTATGCTTACAAAAGAACCTCAAGATCTATACTAGAAGAAATTGTGAGCCAAGGGAGACGTTTAAGGATTAAATTAATCTGATCTCTTTTCTGAGTCTTGGTTAGCATGCAGTATGTGCTTCTGAGTTTAGAATTAACAGCACTCACTCTTTCAAACACCAGGAAATTCAATTTGTGTTTATTTGAATGAGTGGCTACTAGTCATGATTAAAATGGTGAACATGATTTCTTACAAGAAAGTCTTAAAAAATGATAGATTTTGCTTTATGGTTCATAGAACATAGTCTAAATTCTTATTTTAAAGTATTATTCATAATATAAAAATATAACAGAATATAACATCCCCTCATATGGGTTAAATGTCACCCTTTACTGTATTAACCTCTCATTCTCAGTGCAGGTTTAAGGTACTGCAGTACGCAATCAGTATCCATATTAACCACTCTCTCAGCGCAGTATTAATGTACTGTAATGTCCAGTCAGTGTCTGTATTAACCCCTCTCTCTCAGTGCAGTATTAATGTACTGGAGTGTCCAGTCAGTGTGTCTGTATTAACCCCTCTCTCTCTCAGTGCAGTGTTAATGTACTGGAGTGTCCAGTCAGTGTGTCTGTATG